GGGCTAGGGCCTTTATGGCTGCTGTTTCTTTTGCTCTGGGTTCTGATGGAGAGGAGAGGAAAAAAAAAAAAAACAAAAAAAAAACCACCGTGGATCCTGTCCCTAAAGTAGAAATTTTCTTTTTCGTTCTGCATACAAGGCTAAAGATCGGAGGAGAACGAATGCCAAAGTAATTCAGGATTGTGGTCGTGCCACTAAAAGTGTTCGGCTTCAGAACAAAATTTCTTGGGAAATCCGATCATTTCTTCTTACTGTATCGACAGTACTTGAAAGTTGTGTGTGCTTTGAGTAACGTGGTTCAAGTGACAGCAATCTTTGCGTGTCAATGTTTTCTACAGTTTACGGAGTGAAAGCTGTTTTTGGCATTGGAAAGGAAGAAGCTTTTGCTAACAGTCTGTGGAAGGATTAAATGTTGAACAGGGGAAGAGGCAAAAAGTACATGCACGCCCAAAGCTTATCCTTGCATCGTGAATAGGTTTAAAGCACTGTGTAACCTAGGGCCCACCTTAGCAGTGAGACTAAAAGTATAATGGGGAAATATTTCAATTAGAAACCCCTTAACAAGCATTTAATCCTTCTTTAAGGCATTAAGGGAAATAGAATAAAACTGTTACTGCACAAATCTGCTGGAAGCTGATTTTAACCCATTTTAGAGCTCTTCCTTCTGATGTATTATAATATGGCTTCTCGTGAGTCCAGGCAGTGAAGATTTTTCCTGCAGTCTTTGTTGTTTTTCTTTTCAAAAGTTAAGGAATATACTCTTAAGAAAAGTCTGTTCAGTCAGCTGATACATTGTCTTGAATGCACGTATGTGGGTTGCCTGCTTATTTGATCTTTTCTGCCCCCTACTTGAAACTGTGATGTGTTTATTTTGGGGGAAGGAGGGGTTGTTGTTTTGGGGTTTTTTGGTTTGGGTTTTGTTTTTGTTTTTTTTTTTTTACAATAGCAGTGAAAGTTTTCTTGACAGCGATTATGACTACTAAGCAGTTCAGATCATTTGAAGACGAATTCTACTGGATCATATCGGACTTTTCCTAGTCCCTGAGACCCTAACTTGTGAGGTTTTTTAGCAACAATCACAAGTCAGGCTCTTGGGACCTAGGCGGAGGGGAACCAGCAACTTTGGACTTTGGTTGTTTCTCTGCAGAATTTAGAGAATCAAAGGAGTTTTCCTTGTCTGGGAGGAGAAGAGGAAAACATGCTGTTTCAAGAAGAAAGCTGTTACCATTGTGCAACATTAAGATGCTACATATTTGTATGTTTAGAAAACTGAACTGGATGCTATGTAACATTTAGAATTTGAATTTAAATTTAAACTTAATGCCAGTTTGTACCTCAGAATAAAATCACTAAAATATAGTGATTGTACTAAAACGTACAAAACGCTTTCAACTGTAATATTATTATTACAGACCATTCCGGTAGATAATTACTGCAAAGTATATTTTCAGCTATATTGTTACAGCATTTAATGAACTTTTAAAAGGTAGAACATAAACATTGATGTTTGAGGCCTAGAAAACATTGATTCCATTGTTGTTTGAATAATTATTTCAGTCTGCAGGAAAACTGTTGCTTAGCTTTGCCTATAATATAGGACAGAGAGTATTTTATAAGTAGTTGCCATCATTTTTCTTTGTCTAAGTGGGGCCACAATACAACATTTAATATATTCTCTCATTTAATTTACATTTTAACGCAATAGGGAAAGCTGATGTGAAAATCAAACTACAGCATTAAAATCACTTTGCACACAAAATTGCACACATTTCTGGTACGGATTCATTTCACCAGAGCTGGCAGTACTCTAAGAACTGGGCTCAACTTCTAGCCTCTTTGGCACTTTTTTGCATTTTTTTCCCCACTGGCAAAAATAGAGTGACCTTTAGGTTGTTCCCCATGTGTAAATACCTCACTGACTTTGCAGAAGAAGATTTAACAGGACAGAAGTTACTCTACACTGTTCATTAATCTTGAACCTCTGATCTACATCGCAGAATTTGATTTGTATTTTTTAATATTTTATCTGTGGGTTAGGCATGATTAAGCTTTCTCTGTTTCCTGTTTCTAACCCAAGATGTTGCAGGACCTTGTTGCTACATCAGGCTTCACCGAGACAAAGGCTTCACACAGATCAAGCATCTAAACTATTTGTTCATTTCAGAAGTGGTATTTTGGCTGCAGTATATTTTTTCCACTTGTGTGGGAGGAATTGTGTTTTATTGTAAGCATCAATACTATTGTTAAAATAAATTGTTCTTATCTGTTAGTATAATGCATTTTCTTGTTGTCTTGTTTTCTTAAGAGATAGAAACTGTGCACTTGCATGTAATTTTTGAGTTGCTCAAGATATAATTAATCTTTAAACCATCATTAAAAATGTTTCTTGACAATTACAATGATGATACAGTTCCTGGTAAAGATGCAGTTCTTTTCTTCATAAACCGTCAATCCTGCATACTCTATAAACACTCAAAGAGAGCTCCTTGCAGACATTTGGACATAGAAGTAATTATTTTAACACAAATGTGTTATCTCACATTGATTTCTGTTTAGGCAATGTTAGTGATGTAGGTCTAAATCTGTGCAAAATATGCAGAACTGATGTACCCAACTAGGTGTTAACGCTGATGAAGCACATCATTGGTAGCAACTGACTTGTGTTATATATAATAGTTTTCATTACTTAAACAGTATATTTAAGGTACTGAGTAGGTGAACGTGTATTCTGTTCATGAAAGCGATATGAGATATATGAGATAAAACTATACTGTGTGTAGGTATATACATGCTGATATACAATTTAAAATTTGCCTAGTATTTATCAAAACAAATATCCTGATAGATTTAATCAGATATACAGTGTATATGTCTGTACACGTACACATTTTAATAGCATTTATGTTTGAATCAGCAAAATCTTCTTGAATGTGGATGTTCACAGTGCTCTGAATTCATTTTGCCTTTAATACTGCACACACAAAGAAGGTGAAACTGTAGCGTCAAATGTCTGTCTCAGTCAGGAACTAACAGTCTAATGATTTCAAATATTTTTTTACTCTGCAGTGAGAATGGGAATAAAACAAATCATTAAAAATCCCTACCTGGCTTATTTGGCACTACCGCAAAAGCCATGAATATGCAGTATTGCCTCGGCACTGCCGCTTGAATTGGGATAACTATGGTGGTTCCTCTCTGCCCATAGTACTCGCTGCTGCCCCTTGCCAGCGAGATGAAAAAGTTGGTCCACGGCCTCCCTTTTTCCCCTCCTCCCTCTTCTTCTACAGTTTCAACACAGCAAAAGCAGCCTCTGGTACATATCAAAGTCCTTATGGTGGGGCAGAGGACGACGAAGGGGAGCTTCACTCAGGCAGAACTCCTATCAGGATCAACAAGATGTTTCCCTCTCCCAGGACTACGTGACACCCTGCCGAAAGCAGCCTTGTTTACACGTCGACAGTATATGAGACCTCTCTCCATTAGCTCAAATAAACAGAAAGCATCTTTTGTATGCTCTGCCAAGATGTGCATATAGAATTTCAATATATTCATTTATATATGACTTCTCCTGTTTCAGTACAAAATGCCTTTAAATGCTATTTAATATGTGATTTTGGGGTAATCAGCTTGTGCTACAACAAAAACAAAAAGCCAAAACAGGGGGAGAGAGAGAGAGAGAGAGTGAAAATGATGTGTGGTGCATACAAAAAAGGAATGATATTAACAATTCGATGAATTCCTAGTTGGTAGACCAGACTGAGCCAGACGCATATATTAACGGCTGTCTGCTGCTGATGTGAGCCTGCTCAATGCAGTGGAAATGAAGGATCACCTAGTCTCTGACACCAGCTTATTTGTACATTTTAATTTTAAAAAGGAAAATCACTGTTTTGCATAAACATCTTAACCCCTGCATGATTTTCTTTCTTTTTTCCTCCCTCATATTGTTTGCTAATTTACTGTCAACTTAAAGTGCTGTTTAGCTACAGCCCAACAAAACATCAGTCAAAAAGCAGAGGGAAGTATTAGCTTTTCTTTTGTCTGCCATGCACAATTAGGTTATTATTATGATAATTGTCTATTTTAATTTTTAGTTTTCATGGGAGATGCAGCAATTTTCCAAAGCTTCATTTTTAAAGCATTTTAAGTTTCAGCAAGACACCATTTCAGCTTAAAGCTAAATAAAAAAATGCTTATAGATCCAGCTATAGTGATTTGATCAATACTTTTCATTAACCAGAAAGTCTTTAGCACCTTAATATAATGTTACATACATAGGGCAGGATTTCTTTTCAAACTATATAAACACTGAGATCCATTAATACAGTGTAGACTGTTACATGAGTCAGGGGAATTCCAATCCAAGTTAATTACTGTTAGAGAAAAGAATATTTTATTCTGAGTTGTATAACAAGAATCTACAATTATCACATTTTGGGGCATTTTTCCATTCATTTGATGAATTATGTCAATGGAGTTTAACAGAAGATGTTATATATTTACATTGGTAATGAAAATCGGCACATTCACGATTAGCTAACACAACATTTTCAGTGTGTTAATATGCAGTGCAGCAAAAATTTCTGTAGACCGTAAATGTAGCCATCGTTTTGATTTGCCCATATGATGATTATGCTCAGTTCCTGACTGGGTACTTAATTTCACACTGAAATGCAGTCATTTCCTCTTAGGAACTGTCTGTAGCCCACAATAAAAAACAACAACAACAGCAAAACTCTCTATAGAAAGCTAGCTAGTCAAATAGATATATGCAAAACACACAGAAAAAAATCTGGACCAGTCAGCTGAGACTGTATCACTCTTATTAAACTCTATTAAATTACAGAGTTATTTTGCTATGTTCAATTAAAGTATTTTTCTCTCAACAGTGTATCTGTTAGAGACATTCCTCTCCTTGTTAAAATTTTTTGTTGCTTGATACTTACAATAGGCATCTTCAGAGTTTGCTGATTGCTGCATCGTTCCATTCCTCTGCAGTACTACAGTTATGAGATGAACTGCATTAATCTAGTTACATTAATTTGTATGTAAAACTATGTTTTACTTACAGTATCTGAGTAACAGGTGGATGGACTGTGGAACCTGCTGAGAGTAAGTGAACTTACGATCACTAAGATCAACACTGATTGATAGAATTATTTCATCATCTTTATAAACATTTTTAACCCAATAAGTAGGATTTAAAATTCATAATGGAATCATCCAGTTGATTATACACTGAAGTTTATCTGGTAGGCTTTTGCGTTTGCTGTCTTTACTCTTGTTCTTGCTTATTTAGGAATTAAGGATTAGTCGGTAATTGCACGAGAAACTAGATACAGTAATGATAGTTGTAACAATACAAGTGTCCTGTAGGGAAGAAGGCAGATAATACTCCTTTTTCTTCTGCTCGCTGTTACAACTGATTTTCTGCAAGGAGCATGTTTATTTATTTATATGGCAAAGCAAATCATCACAGTTGTGCTATGTAGTTTAGGGCTGGTATTTTTGGTTTTGATTTTAGGTGATTTTCTTCCACCACCATCCCCCCAACCCCGTTTTCTTAGATGTGTACATGTGTTGTGCATGGGAAGGTATAAAGGGAAAAACAGCCATTGAGCAGAGACATGTCCCACCCCTTTCATTAAGCTTTTCCTGGGCTGTGTAAAAACACTGACAATGTGTAAATCCCATTTGGTGGTTTTTACTTTAACAGATTCCTAAGTATTATATTAAGACACCTCCGTGATGAAATACAAATGAAAATAGTTCCCTTAGTAAGTCACAGGATACTGAAAGGGTTGGATGGCATCGGCACAGAGCCAACTGGAAGAATTTTTTTCCATTTAATTCTTTTCACCTAGTAGGCTCCTTAAGCATTAGGCAGAACCCAGTATGTGGCTAAGTTATTGCTCCAGTGTTCATCACACAAAAAGCACAGTCTTAGCATTTGTAAATTTTCTTCAGGGAGGTTTCTAATCTAGACAGCATTTGCGTTTGGGGATTACACCACAGTCTGTTCCCCACCACCTCCCCCTCCAACATGTAGCTCTTTCAACTTCTTCAAAGAAGTGGGGAAAAGTAGGTTCTTTTATTAATAGCAGAAAACAAACCGACTGCTGGACTTCCGTGGCAGAGCTCACATAATGCAGCAGGGTGGGAACTGTAACAAAGAATGCTTGAATGCACTAAACGTATAGTGAAACCCTATTTATATTCACTGATGGAGCTTAAAGTACAATCAGTGAGAAGTTTAAAGTAGAAATAAGTAGGGGCCTGAAAAGACTTCAGTGAAGGTAGATACTTCCTTGAAAAGTGAAGCACAGGATTTAATTTCAAATTCAAATATTTCCTAACTGAATGCATTTCTAATAATACCTCCCTTTACTCAAAGCATCTCCACCAGATGAAGGTAAATTGGATGAAGAGAACATCTTCAATGCATAAAGAAGGGAATTTTCTTCATCCAATTTATATACTAATTTTCTTGCCAGTGGGATAGTTAGCAGGGGTAAAGTCCCTGTGGTTCACTGTCCGTTGTTCTACTTGGAGAAAATGCGCTATCTCACCCTTAAAAATTGCCATTGAGGAGAAGGAAACAACTTTTTGTCTAGAAATAAGCTTGATTATATGATCCTTGTGTGATTTTCAGTTTTCTCTGCTCCTAAAATTTAAGCGTGCCTGTTGGTATATATATGCAGTAAACATACACATATATATGGAGAGAGAGAAAGAGCGAGAGAGAGAAATACTGTCCTGTAAGGGTTGCTTTGTCTATACTCACTCCTACAAATTGGACAAGTCAGTTGTTGTTTTCTACTAAAGGCTATTCTGTGAAATAGAATCACAATACTACTACCGAAAGAATATTACGTTGAATACCTGTCACCTTTCACCTTCTCTAAGGTGTGGTAATCATCTCTTCGCCTTCAGTGGATTAAAGTCCCTTCCAGAGCTGCAGTGTAAGGCCCTGCAAGACACCAACTTCGTTCTCCTTAGAGTGCGAATTAGCCTTGCTCCCCCTTTTGCCTTTATTTGTCTCCGTGGTGGTTCTTGATCCTGTACATGAGGAACGTAAGGATTGGTTATACCTGAAATCTTTTGCAGACTCTATATCCCCTCCCTCAGCCCCATTAAGAAACAACCAGTTGTCAGAGGTTATATATTCGACTGCTAGTTGCAGTTCTCCGGATAAAGCTTGCCTTGCCATTCATTTTCTTTCAAAGAATGGCGTGATAGCCCTGATCTCCACAGTCAGAAGGAAGGATAATTTGTAGAGCATAGGATTTGATAACGGGTGGAGTGGGGGAATATGGAATAATTTTGTGCTACTCTCCTCATGAGAGTTAGTGGCTGCTTTTGAGGACAATGATGTGAATGAAATATTTGGTACTAGCGTTTAGCTGGATTCAGAGTTCCAGAAGTTTAATGATCCTTGCTTATCCACAAGGCGGATAAGGAGCAGAGGGTTCTTTGCAGGGCATATAGCAGGCATGCAGTTCGCCCTCCCAGCAGACTAGTTGCTTAGCTCTGCAGGTGACCAGGCAGACTACGTGAGCCTAATCCGTACGCTGAATTTTGCAGCACTTTCCTTGCAGGTCATCTGAACCTCTGTGTCTGTGCAGGTCCAGAACAGTATGTGCATCGATATTTAGCAAGTCTGGCATGTAAAATGGCTACCTGCAGCCATTTTATAGCTAGATTTATAACATTTCACCGCAAGAGGAGGATTCATATCTCCATTAGGAAGATTTCTTACAAGTCTGAAGATATACAGTGCTTATAGGTTCTGCTAATACAGTTATACACACCCTGGAGCTTTCAGTAACTTAGTTTGACCATTACATTGTAAATCTAGGAGACTGTGCTTTGCTAGTGTATGTCATCATCATATTTTGGATGGTAATGTGTACCTCTTACTGAAATAGAGGAATAAAATCATAATATTGACGTTTTAGGAGTTGGTGGGGCACGCGGTTCTCAAAAAAATGGATAGGTGTTTATAAGTGAAACAGGTTATCGGTGTAATCTTAGAAACCTCTCCAGACTGACTGCTAGAGTTGAATTTCTGGGTGTTGCAGGTATCTGAGTGTTGTGCAATGGCAGGCTTTTATGAGTTAACAAATTTCAAAGGCAGTTTGGCTTTCTAAAATCATCATTCCTTAAATGCTAGTGGGAAATCAAAATTACTACATACAATAACTAAAACTTAAAAAAACCTTTCAAATGTTTCCAAACAGTAGTCTAAGTGCTATTCTTCTTCCCTACATCAATGACTAAAGATTTAGAGTCACTTTCTGACTCTCAGCATGAATGCAGACAATTCTCTTGAGCTCCGTTTCAGTGAGCGTATCTTTATTTTCTTTCCCTGATGCTCTGACTCTGTTGGTGAGATAGGCTATGAGATCTTTTGGATGGGGACTGACACTAACTGGGAGCATGGTGACTAGCACAGCGGGACCCCGATTTTGGTTGGAACTCTGACGCTGCAGTATAATGCAAATAATAGTGAAGCGTTCAGTGGTCAGTATCAGGTCATTGTTTACTGTGGTAGAGTGAGAAGACATTTTATACATTTTTTTACAGCCCACTTTGTGCTATTTGTTCTCTGGGTGTTTACAAGTTACTGCTGCGGCTGGGAAGAGAGGGAAGCACAACAGAGCAAATGGTGGGATCTCATATCCCAATATTCATCTATTATCCGTCGACTTTTCAACTTTGTTTTGGCATCCACGTTTACTACTTTTCAGATTGAACATTTTAAATGGTCCTAATGATCTCCTCCAATATCCAGTAAGAAGACAACTTGTTCAGGAATAACTTTCCAAAGAGAGCCACTGGGGTCTGCATTTTTCCCTGTCAAGTAGTCTTATGTGTGCATCCAACTCAGACTATGAAGTGACCGCAGAGCCTAATAGCTACAGTAGTCTTTTCAGTGGACTAGCAGACTCTCCTGCACTGCTGTAAAACCTGTGAGGGGCCAAAGCCCCTCAGCTTCTAGATACCATCTACAGTTCACTAAACCACAAAACATGACATCTCCTCCTTCTTTCCTTCCCTCCTTTTTCTTTTCCTCATCTCCTTTCCTTTCCTCCCTCATGTCTCCCACACATAGCAGAAATATCGTGCATCTGCTGCCAAGAACGAACTTGATCATCTAGTCTGACTTCCTTCATAGACCATGCCAAGGCATTCACTGAGCAGCTCCCACATCAACACCAACAATTTCTGCCGGGTTAGCATGTATATTTTAGGATCTGAGATGAGCATAATAGCCCCAGAACAGTGTCCCAGTGGTCTAATACATTGCTATTAAAAATATAGACTTATTTCTAATCAGAATTTGTTTAGCATCAGCTTCCAGCTACTGAATTGTTTTCTGATCATTTAAATGGTCATTTGCTCTCGTTTCTTAGCATTTTCACTTATAAGATAATGAGATTAAGTGTCTTCAGTGTCTTACTAGAAGTCAGATTTTTGGAAGCATCAGATCACCTTGCTAGTTCTTTTTTGAACCCTTTCTGATTTGTCAACATCATTTACGCATACTAGTTAGTACTAGACGTAGACACAGTATGTCAGTAATGGTGTTATTAGCAGTGCTGTCAGGAATGATATTATTAACTCTGCCAATAATTCCTCTTTTCTTTTGTTTGACTTGTCTATATATCATGTTTATTCTCTTATTCATTCCACTGCACCGAGACTGCATTTCAGTGGATTACCCATGATGACTCCTGTTTGTCAGTGTCCAAATGCAAGTATAGCTGAAGGAATAAGGAGAGAAACATTAGAAAAAGACATGTCTGAGCTACCTGAAGGTGCCTAATTCCAATTGCAATGAGCAGGAGTCCAGCTCCTAAAGTGTTAGGTACTTGTGTGATCCTGCCTCTACATCTTCAGGCACAGAAGTTTATAAATCTGGCCTCTGATTCTAGTTCTGTTACTACATTGAAGCAAAACCTTATGTAAATGGGAGAAATAACTGAATTAGCTCATCAGTAGTTGATTAAATACACGGCAGGTAATTTTTAGCCTCCATCAATCTATTTATTGAATAAACTGTGTTTAATGCCTGTGTGATAGCCACTTCA